CCACCCGTACCACCACCTCCACACACTTACACACACAACCACAAAAAATCCACCCGCTGCGTTGTTGCAAGGCCGCCGAGGTGAGCCAACGCGAGAGTTGCCTACAGATTGCAAAGTTTTCCCACGGTAGGTCATCATTCCCTGACCTAACTCCGACCCGACATGCATATGAACCGCAAAAAAAATCTTATCAACTGGATCGAGCGGGCCAAGGGCTCCGCGAGGTGAATGTTTAAAATGTCATTCGTCAGATCACCTAATAGAGACTGTCCGGTTGTCAACCTGGCGAAGGTTCCCAATTACTGAAAGCACCCCATAATATGGTTCAGTTGACGGTACCGACCTCGCGTCCAACACGCTTGTATGAGTTGAGATTCGTGGAATACCACCAAGTGGTATTGCAGCAGTGCAAGGTCATACCGGATCATTCACAAGCAACATTGAAGTCCTTCGATGACCGCAATTGGCCGAGTTACCCTTTTACTGAAACCGAGCAGTTGCTGCTTGACACATCCAACCTGGACCTTCACTGTCTCGTTACCACCAAAAAGACCAAGCTAGATCCGCGGTATATTGGACCATATCCTGTCCTTTCCTCTACTATAGTCGAGGCCTACAAACTTGATTTTCCCCCGGGACCCCTCCTTCATAACGATTTTCGTGTATCCTATTTAGGACCAACGCAAATTCCTCGACATCTCAATCATGTCCCAAGCTTATCACCAGTAACCGTTACGAGGTGCTACATTTCAAGTGGTTTTCGATTGACGTATTGGAGGAGACACTACATCACGTTCAAGGATTTTTTTTTTGCTTGAACATCCGCTTCTGACCGACAAGGAGAGATCAGGCGAAGTTGAGTCTGCTGGATACTCATGATCTCAAACCAAAAATTGTACGTAAATCTTGCATCACGATCAAAAAGCAATGCTAAACGGCAAACCGTGTAATTTGTTTTTATAGTTGTCACGAAACCAACGAGTCGCCTCTTCAGCGTTTCACCTAGTAGTCATCGACATTTTGTGAGGACTCAGACCGACGGTTCCGAGATAATCCAATATGAAATCCATCGAGATATGAGTCCACCAATGCATTGATATCTGGAGTGGATTGAGTAGCGGCCGCTGCGATGATAAGTCTTCATTCGCGGGCACATTTCGTTGGATACAAACTGGCCAAATCCTTTACAACTAGTACAGTAAATAGTGTAATTATTATGGACCAGACTAATAGGGAATCAGGATTATAGAACGCGGGGCCACATTTAGTCTCGACTCAAATCATCCAGACTAATTGCGCACCTAGACTATTTGCGAAACAACACAAATAGCAAGATAAACCTTATATGGGTCAAAATCAGGACCAATTCATGGCAGCTATGCATAGAATGGGTATATGCACTGCTTAACACTGTATCGGTCAACGGTATCTCTAAGAGGAGCAGATAGTCAAGCTACTTTCCAACGTCCATTCAATCCGTTGGATTTTGCTCAGCATTTGCAGTACTCATAGCAGACGCTGCATTACACGAATGACAGCTTCCCGCATTTTTTCTAGGACATCCCCGCACAAAACATGGTTGCGGTTGCCACACACGTCACATGCATGTGAAACGTTAGACGTATTCCCACCGCAGCACTGCGCGTATACATGACCGAGTATTGTTGTCTTCCGCTTGATCTTTCGAAAATGAGCTGTCCACAGAGATGCCAAGAAGCCAGTGTGGAATTGTGGGTCTCAATTACCATTTAATCCAT